GCTACCACGCCCAGCTGATTTTTTGATTTATTGTAGAGATGAGGTCTCACTGCCCAGGCGGGTCTCGAACCCGTGGGCTCAGGCAATCCACTCATCTCAGCCTCCCAAAGGCGCGGGATTACAGGCTGAGCCACCGAACCCAGCTTGAAATGTCACATTTATGAATGATCACATATATATGGTTTTGTTTCTGGACTCTATGTTGCTTCATTTGCTTACTTCAGTTTCAGTTATTGTAGCTTTATGAAATGTTTTTAAATATGCTAGAGCTTTTATTCATTTCTCTATTTCAGATTTTTTCTAGCTACCCTTGAGTGTTTGTCTAATATTTTGCATCACTTTGACAAATTCCAAAAAAATTCTGTTGGTATTTTGATTGGAATTGTTTTGGAGTAATAGATTACTTAAAGGAATCGATAACTTTATGATATTCAGACTTCCTATCCAAGAACAAATTACATCTCTCCATTTATTCTTTTATGTCCCTTAGGAAAATTTTAAAGTTAAGTTTATCTCTAGGTATTCTATGTATATTTTGTTGTTGTTGTTGTTGCTGCTAATGGACTCTTCTATTATGTTTTCTAGCTAACTACTGCTTATTTACAAGAAAGCTAATGCTCATACTGATCATTAGAATACTGCTAATATTTCAGAATTAAGCATAATTCTGATTTTAGTGGAATATTTTTGTTTTTCCTCCTCTGTAATGTGACTTTTAAATGGATAAATTAAATCAAAGTACAAACACATCTTTGGTCATGAACTTACTTGAAAACTTAATCCATTGTCAGACTTGCTGTCTGGGCTTACTGAAGCTTTCTCCTGTAGACCTCAAGACAGCTAAACCACACAGCTGGTTCTTCTTAGCACTGACCTTCTGGATCAGTTCAACTCAAATTCCTTTCCAGGTTAGGAGTGTCAGATAAAATGAGGAAATGGCAAGGTATGGTGGCTCATGGCTATAATCCTTGTACTTTGGGAGGCCAAGGCAGGAGAATCACTTGAGCCCAGGAGTTCGAGACTAGCCTGGGCAACATAGCAAGTCCTCATCTCTACAAAGAATCAAAAACTTAGCCAGACATAATGGCACACACCTGTAGTCCCAGTTACTCAGGAGGCTGAAGTGGAAGTATTGCCCGAGCCCATGAGTTCGTGGCTGAAGTGAGCCATGATTGTGCCACTGTATTCCAGCCTGGGCGCCTGGGAGACAGAGTGAGACCTCAACTCAAAAAAAAAAAGGTAAAAGAGGAAGCAACTGAGTGGGCGTCCTGGGGGCCTTCCTCAAGGGGCTGCTGCTACTGAACCCCAACCTACCATGACCATGTGGGAATATGACCCAGTATGGCCAGATTTTTTTATTTTCAGGAGGATTCTACAATTCAGTGTTTTAAAATTTTTAAATATTGGCTCAAATGTTTTTAAAAGTTCTGTGTAGGCCCAACTAAACTTGTCTGTAAGCTAGATTCACCCTTTAGCCAACTGGCCACCAGTTTTCTACTTCTGTAGGCAAGATTTTTAGAAAGGCGACCACAGGCTCAGCTGTTACAGGAGTATTTTCCACCTGAGTAGCTGTATGCACCAACGACAGAATGTACAGGCATACACCGTTTTATTACGCTTTGCAGACACTGTGCTTCTTTTTTTATTTATTTAATTTTTTTTAGTTGAGGTCTCACTCTGTCGCCCAGGTTGGAGTGCAATGGCATGCTCACGGCCAACGCAGTTTCGACCTGCTGGGCTTAGGTGATCCTTCCACCTCAGTCTTCCAAGTAGCTGGAACTACAGGCATGTGCTACCATGCCCGGCTTATTTTTTTTTATTTATTGTAGAGACGAGATCTCACCAAGTTGTCCAGGCTGGTCTCGAATCCCCGGGCTCAGGCACTCCTCTCGCCTCATCCTCCCAAAGTGCTAGGATTACAGGCTGAGCCACCGCACCGGATCTATACTGTGCTTCTTAACAAACTGAGGGTTAGTAGCAACCCCACGTCAAGCAAGTCTGTCAGCACCATTTTTCCAACAGCATATGCTCATTTTGTGTCTCTGTGTCACATTTTAGTAATTCTTGCAACATCTCAAAATTTGTCATTATTATTGTATCTGTTATAGTGAACCATATGATCAGTGATCTTTCATGCTTCTATTATAATTGTTTTGGGGAGCCACATACTGCACCCAAATAAAACAATGAGCTTCTAACAAACGTGTGCGCTCTGACTGCTCCACTGACTGGCTGTTCCCCCATCTCTCCCTCTCTTCGGGCCTTCCTATTCCTTGAGACACAACAACATTGAAATTAGGCAAATCAGTAACCCTACAATAGACCTAAGAGTTCAAGTGAAAGGAAAAGTCACACATCTCTCACTTTAACATTAAAAGCTAGAAATGTTGAAGCTTAGTGACGGAGGCATGTTGAAAGCTGAGATAAGCCAAAAACTAAGCTTCTTGTGCCAAACAGTTAGCCAAGTAGTGAATATAAAGGAAAAGTTCTTAAAGGAAATTGAAATTGCTACTTCAGTGAACACACAAATGATAAGAAATCAAGACAGCCTTATTACTGATATGAAGAAAGTTTGAGTGGTCTGAATAGAAGATCAAACCAGCCACAACATTCCCTCAAGCCAGAGCCCAATTCAGACAGAGCAAGACCCTAAGTCTCTTCAATTCTGAAAGGCCAAGAGAGGTGAGTAAGCTTCAAAGAAAAGTTGGAAGCCAGCAGAGACTGGTTCTTGAGGTTGAAGGAAAGAAGCCATCTCCATTACATAAAAGTTCAAGGTGAAGCAGCAAGTGCTGATGGAGAAGCTGCAGTAAGTTCTCTAGAACATCTAGCTAAGATTAGTGATGAAGAAGGACACTGTAGTTTTTTAAAAATACAAATGAAACAGCCTTCTATTGGAAAAAGATGCCATCTACAACTTTCATAGCTAGAGAGAAGTCAATACTTGGCTTCAAAGCTTCAAAGGACAAGCTGGCTCTACACTAAGAATGATGCTAAATCTCACAGCTCAACAACAAGGGTACCTGCATAATGAACATCTGTATACCCAACCCTGAACTGTACCCCACATCTTTAAAATTAAAATTTTTAAAAAAAGAATTATGCTAAATCTACTCCACCTGTGCTCTCTGAATAAAACAACACAGCCTGGATGACAGCACATCTGTTTACATCATTACTGAAGAGTTTAAGCCTACTGTTGAGATCTATTGCTCAGAAAAAAAGATTCCTTTCTAAATATCACTGCTCAAAGATAACGTACCTGATCACCCAAGAGCTCTGATGGAAATGTGCAAGAAGATGAATGTTGTTTGCATGCCTGCTAATACAACACCCATTCTGTAGCTCATGGATCAAGAAGTAAGCACAACTTTCAAGTTGTCTTATTTATGAAATACATTTTGCAAGTCTATAGCTGTCATAGATAGTGATTCCTCTGATAGATCTGAGCAAGGTAAATTGAAAACCTTCTGGAAAGAATTCACTATTCTAGACGCCATTAAGAACATGCTGATTCATGGGAGGAGGGCAAAATATCCACATGAACGGGGAGTTTGGGAGAAGCTGCCTCCAACTGTCATGAATGAGTTTGAGGGGTTCAAGACTTCAGTGGAGGAAGTAACTGCAGATGTGGCAGAAACAGTAAGAGAACTAGAATTAGAGCCTACAGATGGGGCTGAATTGCCGCTATCTCCAGATCAAAACATGAATGGATGAGAAGTCGCTTCTCACCAGGCAAAGTGGGAACCAAAGGGAGACGCAAATTCTACCTGTACGATGGCCACTTGTATACCTAATCCTGAATTGTACCCCACATCTTTAAAATAAAATTAAAAATTAAAAACAAAAGAGATGTTGCTTCTCATGGAAGAGCAAGTAAAGTGATTTCTTGAGGTGGAATCTACTCCTGGTGAAGATGCTGTGAACAGCATGGAAATACCAACCAAGAATTTAGAATATTCCACAAATTTAGTTGGTAAAGCAGCAGCAGTGTTGGAAAGAAATGGACTCCAATGTTGGAAGAAGTTCTACTGCGAGGAAAATGCTTCAAACAGCACCACAGGCCACAGAGAAATCTTTCATGAAAGGAAGAATCATCAGTGTGGCGAACTGCATTATTGTCTTATTTGGGGAAATTGCCACAGCCACGCCAGTCTCCAACAACTGCTATCCTGATCAGTCAGCAGCCATCAACATCAAGGCAAGACTCTCCACCAGCTAAAAGATCACAACTCAGTGAAGGCTCAGATGATCCTTAGCATTTTTCGCAATAAAGTATTTTTATATTAAGGTATATGCATTGTCTTTTTAGACATAATGCTATTGCACACTTAATAAACTACAGTACACGTTGAGCATCCCTTATCTGAAATGCCTGGGACCAGAAGTGTTTCAAATTTGAACTTTTTTGTGGGGTAGGGGAACTTTTGAGTATTTTTTACTATTTGAATAAGTGGTCCTTCATCTGAAAATCTGAAATCGAAATGTTCCAATGCGCATTTCCTTTGTGTGTCATGGCTCATTCACAAAGTCTTAGATTTTGAAGAATTTCAGATTTCACATTTTCAGATTAAGGATACTCAATCTGTATAGTGTAAGCATAACTTTTATATGTACTGGAAAACCAAAATGTGTGTGACTCACGTTATTATGACGTTTGCTTTAGTGAACCTGGAACTAAACCTCCAATGTGTAGGCATACCTTGGAATATTACAATGTCCTGCCCCCAGCCCATAGTCCCTTTGGCATTTGTTTTCTTCAGCTTTATATGAATAATATGCAGTCATATCACATTGCAGCCACAACCCTGCCCCAGCACCCCGCCTGTTCCTGGACCTCATAACCTCGTTAAAACAAAAATGGCATCCAAAAGCACCAAGGGGCCAAAATTCCAATTCCAAACAGTCTCTCTCAATCTTTCTCTCTCTCTCTCTGACTTTGCCTCTCTCTTTCTCTCTCTGTCTCTCTCGCTCTTCCTCCCCCACACCCCAGGTGTCCTCACCTGTCACGATGGGGTAGGACTGCGGGCCAGGCACGCTGCTCCCGATGTCAGCAGGGGTGGGACTGGCCAGGTTGGCCTTCATGTCGTCCAGTCCACCAGCCAACGAGGCCATGGCTGAATACTCACTGGTCTGAAAGAGCAAACAGAGACATCTCAGCACCAAGACTCCGAAGCACCCTAGTCAGATGCCACCACCACATTCTGGGCTCAGCCACCAAGCTGGGCAGGTCTATGCCTGTGCCAAGGGTCACGAATTCCTAGTGCTGAGAGGGCAGATTTAGTCTGACAGAACAAGACAGGTGTCCAGAATGGACAATTCTCCTCAGGGGAAGAGGTGGGCAGGATTCAACACAACGTCACGACAATCCAGACTTAGCCCCCTCTGTAGCCCACAGGTTTCCCTTACCCACCTCCAGCCAGCTGGAGACACTGCCTTCCCTGGAGCAAGGAGGGAGACATCAGTAACCAAAAAGCAAGGCAGAAGAAATAAGAGTCTTCCCACCAAGAGAAGGGAAAGAACGGTTTCTGATTTCTGTGCTCTTAAACCACGGGAAGAGTTTAGAACCACAGAAACAAGAATTGGAAGGAATCTGGGAGATCACCCACTCCAAATCTTCATTTCACAGATGAGCAAACTGGGCCCAAGGGGGGGAGGGCTTTGTCCATGGTTGACAGGCTGGATCCCAGTCCAGAGGGTGGGGCACCATAAGCTCTTGATCTAATCTAGTACATCAAACCAATCCGAGTTTGGCAAGTGTTTTTGAATTCTAGAAGCATGCAAACACCTGTCTGCTGAAAACCATGGGCTGCACACCTGATTCACCAAGTCCATGCCAACCCCGGGTATTTGGCCCACGAGTCACGCTCCTTTCTTTAAGCCATTTTGTGAAATCAGAGCTTGGGATGAGTCATTTCCTTGCCACCCAAGCCATTCTCAGAAGGGTCCCCAGACAAGGCAGCACAGATGTCAACCCAGATCTTCCCACTCGAGGACAGATTGTACTGTAAGCATGAGTGACCTGTCTCTTCCTCCCACCCAACCCCTAGGCCTATTTTCAGGTAAAGAAAAGATTTGCAAGCATTAAGCCAACAAATTTGGTTGTGCATGCCAAGAATGAGAGTGGGGGGTTTCCTCCAGGACCCTGGTGTTGTTGATGGAGGACACGCGCCTGTCGTCCAGGGTCATGTCCTCAGCAGGCAGGGACAGGGAAGTCAGCAGTCTTCGGGAAGGAGCTGCAGGCGCCCTGGGTAGGATGACCAGGACTGAGCCACTGGGCAGGAAACCAAAGGAGCCGCTGGGCAAGGGGCAGTTAGACAAGACTCAGAGTCGGGCACTTTCCTGGGGTTTTTCTCTCCAAACCAGTTAGAAAGTCCTTCCTGGGCAGCGGAAGTGCCAGCGGGGGCTGATGGCAGGCCCAGGCTCTGGCATGATTCTGAGGACAGCTTGTCCAGATTCCCTGGGTCCTTCAATCCTCTTCTGTTAGACACTGATTCTGAAATGTATGAAGAACACAGGCCCAAGGCAAGCCCAGGTGCTTTCAAGGGAGAAGAACCAGGCCCAGGGAACGGGCCTACCAGACACCAGGAATCACTCTATAGCTCTAGTAATTAAGACAGGGTGGTATTGGCACCGGGATAGATAAATAGACCAATGACACAGAATTGAGTCCAGACACTGATCTGTGCACATATGGAACCGTGATATATGAGAGAGGTGGTGTACAAATCAGTGGGAAAGGATGGACTCTTTAATAAACAGAGCAGGGATAACTGGTTATCCATTCAGAAACAGGGGGAAAAAAGAAATTGGATCTTTACACCAGACACAAAAATCAATTCCAGGTGGATTAGAGGCCTAAATGTGGAAGGCAAAGGCGTCTATCGTGGTTGGCTCTGGGTCCAGCCAAAAACCCTTGGGAACAAGTCTGTCCTTCATGGAAGAGGAACGTGTGCCTTTTTCTGCCCTGGGATGTTCACACATGGTTTCTGGTCACTGTGAGGACAGGGTCAGGTCCCAGTCATCCTGCTACCCTGCCTCAGTGCCTCCTCCTCCAGGAAATCTTTCTTGTCTACACTCCCTAGGAGGTGTGAGTCCCACCTTCACTCTGCTGGCCCCACCAAATTGTGCCATGGCAATAACAATCACAGTCGCATCAAAATTTCACACTTACCAAGCACTTTTGCTGTGCCAGGAGCTTTACCTGCACTATCTCATTTAATCTTCACAGTCACCCCTTGAAGTAAGTTCTATGTAATCTGAATTTTACAGATGAAGAAACTGAGACTTCTATTACAGGGGGGAAGTGACCTGCCTAAGGTCGCACAGCTTCTAGGTGCCCGAACCGGTATTCATTCAAATCTGAGTCCATCTGACTCCAACATCTTGACAATTACCATAGTAATTTTCATACCGTGGGTCCTGACCCATTAAAAGAAGTAAAATCAATTTGCTGGTCCCTACATTTAAAAAGAAGAAGGAAGCCGGGCTTGGTGGCTCAGCCTGTAATCCCATGCTTTGGGAGGCCGAGGTGAGTGGATTGCCTGAGCCCGCAGGTTCAAGACCCGCCTGGACAACTTGGTGAGACCTCAGCTCTACAATAAATCAAAAAAATTAGCCAGGCATGGTAGCGCACACCTGTAGTTCCAGCTACTTGGAAGGTTGAGGCAGAAGGATAGCTGGAGCCCAGCAGGCTGAGGCTGCGGTGGCCGGGAGTATGCCACTGTACTCCAGTCTGGGTGACAGAGTGAGACTCCAACTCAAAAAAAAAAAAAAAGAAGAAGAAATTAAGATGAAATAGAAAAAACAAAAAAAGGCTGGGCAAGGTGGCTCATGCTGGTAATGCCAACACTTTGGGAGGCTGAGGTGAGAGAATCGCTTGAGCCCAGGAATTTGAGACCAGCTCTTTCTCTGCACACAGCAATGCACTGAAAGGGCTGCTCTCAGGTGTGGTGGCATGTGCCTGCAATTCTAACTATTTGAGGCCGAGGCGGGAGGATCACCTGAGCCTAGGAAGTTGAGGCTGAGGTGAGTCATGGGTGTGCTACTGCACTCCGGCTGGGGCAACAGAGTGAGCCTCCAACTCAAAAAAAAAAAAAGAAAAGAAAAGAAAAGAAAAAAAGAAGAAATATCCAAGGGTCTCACACATAGAAAGATAAGTTCTGCTTTGTGAATCCCTGTTTCCCATATAAGTGGGCATGTATGCGAGGTGGAGATTAAGAGCTATTTCTTGATATAGGTCACAAGCAGCAAAGTTTGGAAAACACTGCCTTCCTTCCATGCAGCAGAGAGCGATGGGAAAAGGTCACTGTCTGGATTACATCCCCCATAGAATGGAGCTTGGTCTTGGCATTAGCCCTGTAATTTGTTAAGAATGAATTTGGATTGAATTTAGAATTCCACTCGCCAGGGCAGCCCCTTCAGTGCATTGCTGTGTGCAGAGAGAGAGAGAGAGAGAGCAGGTCAAACGCCTCTGAGAAGGGTTTTTTCCCCAATGACATCTTCCAGAGTTTCTGGGCCCCCAAAATAGGTGCCAGATCCTCCCTCCTGCCTGCGTTCCTGAATGCTCTAGTGAAGGCCAGAGCATGGTGGACGTGCATTCATTCAACCTTTATTGAGCCCTGTTGTGTGCAATATGGTGTGTGAAGACCACACATGCTCTTTGACCATCACCCACAAACCCCAAGAGAAAAGACACATGGCCCCAGAAGGTCCACCCAAGGGGGGCAAGATCACAGAGCCATTCAGTTACTTGGAGCGGGAGGTGGCTGGGAAAGAGTTCTTGGGGCACACTGGAACAGCAATCCCTGACCTCAAGGCAGCCCCAAGGCTGGGAACAGCCAAAGGAAGCCCAGAGGTATTAGGACAGGAATGAGCCAGAAACAGGCCCAGGCAAAAGTACCAAGAGACGGACAGGTAGACAAGCGGGGATTCGACTGTGAAGGGTTTGCACGATGAACACAGGATGAACAGATGAACGAGCA